CCCTAATTTCATAAGCAACCACGTGCAATGCATCCAAATCCCACGCCGAGTCCCAATTCCGAAATTCCTGAATGAAAGCACTGTAATTTCCGCTATTACTGGTGGATATCTACTTGATCAAACCTCTATCCTCTATAACAACACAAAATAATTTTTTCCAAAATAATCAAAATAGGGGTGAAAATTACTTGGCAGATTTTTCGAATGCCTGGTACGAATCAACCAGGTTCCCAAGTCGATAATTCTGCAAAGCACGAAATAGAGGGACCATAATATCCACATACTGGGAGTACTTCTCAGATTGCATTATCAGTCTATTAGCATCCTGTACCAACAATTTCAAAACCCTAATGTTACAAAAAAGTTACAAAATTTACAATAATGGTGAATTTTTCGGGTGCGCATGTATTTATGCGTGTAATAACCTACATACAGACCTGGAAGGTAATGATTGCGTCGGCCAGGGAGAGGAGAGAGGGGGATTCGGAGGAGACGGAGAGGAGGCGCGTTAGGGACGCGCCGTCTTGGGACGAAACGGCCTCGGAAAAGCGGTTTAGATATTCGGTGATTCTTCTGTGTGCTTCTCCCATGCTCATATACGCCATTGCTTCTACGAGTCTTCTTCTTCTACTGCTGCAACTCTCTCACTCTCTCCTTCTTCTCTCTCTCCAAAGAATACTCTACAAATGAGCTTCAATCTAGTGGGCCTTTTTGTGTTGATTTTATAGTTTCGAGTAAACTACACCAATAACCCTTAAACTATAATCCTTGTATTAATTAAATCTTTGAACTAATTTTTTAAACTTTAAAATTTTAGTAATTAAGCCTTTAAAGTAATGTTAGTGTCAATTGAACCCCTAAACTACATAAATGACCTTAAACTATGACTTTTTTGTAAATTAAGTCCCTAAATTAATTTTTGTGTCAATTTAGTCTCTAACCTCTAAAATTTTAGCAATTAAGTCCATAAACTAATTTTCATGTTAATTGGACCCCTAAACTCTAAAATTTTAGTAATTAAACCCTCTTGTCAATAGCTGTTATGTTTTTGGATGAAATGTCTCACATGCTCATCATATAAACAACAGATTAGAGGTATTTTAAATTGGTCGTTCAAAATTTATCAAACAAAGAACCTCATCATTCCTTACACCCATGAACCAAAACCCTATATATAAACCTAAACTTCTTTCATACCTATCGAACAAAGCAAATCAACAAACTCTTCGAAAAGCGTATTTATCTAATCTATTTTCTACACCAAATCGAAGAGCTTATTATTGATCTGTTTCATTAGTTTGAAATTAGTCAAATGGCTTAATTGCAAAAATTTTCGAATTTAAGGGCTCAATTAATATAAAATTTAGTTCAAAAACTTAATTGATATAAGCATCATAGATTAATGGTTATTTGTGTAGTTTACTCTATAACTTTGGGGTCCTTTTAATTTGTTGGAAAAAATACACTTTACTCCTATAATTAGACTTTTCACATTTTATGTATCTCATGTTTCATAATAATCACAGAATCATCGTATAAATTTTTGAGCAAAATACAGAGTCATAGGGATAACTGGGTTTGGTTTGTGTTGGATTTTATCCAAAAGTAAAATTGTTATTTGATTGTAAAAAGTGGTGGTGTTATTTCCATAAAGTAAAAAAGATAGCACACCAGAGTCGCGTACCTCTGCGATGAGCAAGTTATATCTTTTAGTGGAATTATAACAGTTGAAAATTATTTATAATTGATCATAAAATATTATGATCGATTATTAATAATTTCAATCAGTTATAATTTTATATTTTAAAAGTATTATTTAATTTTTTTTAAATTTGCATTTTTATAATTGATCACAATAAGTTGTGATTAATCATATCTTTTGAAAAACTGTTCAATGTTGAGTATGTAATACGCAGTAAGACATTTAATCACTTATTAGACTATTTCCAACTCTAACTTTAATTTAAACTCAAATCTAAATTTGAGTTTGGTTTAAAAACCTTATCCATTAGACTCAAACCTATACTAAATAAATAAAAAAAACTTATTCTGGACTCAAATTGAGAGAGATTTAAATTCTATACTAAATTTTCAATGGAAACTTTTTACCATATACAAAAAACTTCTTCAACAACTTGTTCTTCTATCTCTTCCGACTTCTCTTTTCGACACTGCTACCATCGCCGACCACTAGCAAAGTATTCACAAATCCCTTGAAGACCTGTAGGTAAACTTCTTCTTTTTAATTTTTGGTATTCTTGATTCTTATATTTTTTAAAACTCTAATCTCACACTTCTTCATACTATATAAACCCTAGGCCGATTCATGATTTTTTTTTTTTTGATTTCTTTAAGTCAAACATTATCGATGGTGCAAGTTCAAGCCTTTACTATCCATAAATTTAAGAAATTCATCATTTTGTTTCTTCAATTATCCATTTTTATTGAAAACGATCCGTTTGTTGTGCTTTTCAGATTAGACCCATATCAAAATAATTATCTTTTTTTTCTTTATCTGAATTCATAGATGAAGATAATGGATTAAAACAATCTGAGAATTTTGGGGTGATTTTCTTTTATTTTTTCTGTTTCTTTTTATTGTCAAGTGGTTTTTATAACTATATTCAATTTTTTTGAATTACCTATTTGTGGAGAGATATAAAAGTTTCAATTATTTTATCAGATTTCATGATTTGAATGACATAAAAAACTGAGCTTTGTGACAATAAAAGAATTTCTAAAAAGTTTGAGTAAATATTTGAGTTTGTCTATTAAAGTACTCTATACCGAAATCAAATTTTTTACTCAAATTTAAGTCTAAGAGCATCTCCAACTATGATTCAAATTTTTACTCAAATTCAAATTAACATTTGAGTAAAAAAAAATTGTTTTGATACAAAAGACTTCAATGGACAAACTTAAACTTAAAGAAGTAGAAATCTAAATTTAAATGAAGGGCAAACTCAAATTTAAAAGAAAGTAAAGATGACCATATGATCTTTAAAAGAGAGTAAAATACCATTATTAAAGATTTAAGTAAGAATTTGAGTGTCCTTTAATTTGAGTAAAAAAATAAGTCTTTCTTGATTTTATATAAGTTTGAGTCAAATGTTAAAGCAATTTTTTAAGTTTTTTTACTTAAATTTAAATTTGAGTTAGGTTTGAAAATGCTCTAAATAATCTAAATTTGAATCATGATTAGAGATCATCTTATGTGCATATTTTAAATATATTTTTATGTAGTATGAGAGGTAGTTATTAGGAAGTTCAGTAAGGTAATGATAGCGTATTTGTGGGTAATGTTATAAGTGGTTACTTAGATAACGAAGTCAAGAGTTAGATTTATTATTAAAATATTTTTTTATAATCTTATATTTGAAGACCCTTCAATCAATAAAATAAATATGTTAAATATTGTGATAAATTTTCTCGCGAAGTTTTAGTGACTAAATTCTTTTCAAATTGAACTAAAATAGGTTTTCAATCCCCTCAAAACGAGCTTTCTTTCCCTATTCTAATAGCTATAACCCATAGGAGTTTTCCCTTACACATTCTCCTCTACATGCCAGCGAACTGCACAATAGATAGGTTTGGATTGCCATGGATGGATTGAATTTGATTAGATTTAAATCAGAATCCAATCCAACCAAATGGAAAGTAATTCGGGTTGATTCAATCTTAATGAATAGAATCTCATCATATCCTATTTTTGGATGAGAGAAACATTTGTTTTGTGAGCTCCATTCACAGGTAGATGAAAGATGTTAAAATAATCATTACACTCCCACCTTTGAATTGGTGTGATGTCAATCCAAAATAGGATGATTAGATACTTAGTTTTGAACAAAATTTTGATTTAATAAATTGCATTTTTTAACAACACAAAGTCAAAAAATTGTTCATAATTTTTTTAATTAAATTTTGTACAACACACAATTTATTAGAAAATCATATGAATTGTCCAGTCCAAACAACCGACAATAGATGATTACATGGGGGAGATAGAGAGTTGCTGGGTCACCGAAGTTGGCGGAGTCGATGGGGTTTCAACAATATTATGCGAGAGCGAGAGAGATAGATGTCGGATTTGTTTTTTTTTTTTTTTTAGGGGGGGGGAGGGGCAGGAAATTGAGGGTTAGGGGGAATTTGGGTTTGGGGGTTGTGTGTGTGCGCTTTTAACAAAGATAGGGGAAAGGGGTTTGTGTGTGCGTGTAATAAAGAGATAGGATGGGAAGAATAGCTAACATAAAGACTGGGGGTTTGCTGGTGTTGGAGGTGGCATAAGCGATTTAGTGGTGTCATTCACAGTGGTGGTGCCTGTGGCTATGGTGATGTAGTGTAAAGGCACATAAGAAAGGGGTGGCGGCGCTGGTGGTGATTGGTCGCTGTTGGTGGTGGCACTGGTGGAGGTGTTGTCTATCTAGCAAGGGAGAAAGGACAGTGGTGTGAGATGGGAGCAGGAGAAAGAGAACGAAGAGAGAGAAAGCAGAAGATATGCTCCATAGACAAAGAACAGACGAAGAACGAGGGAGAGAGAAATGGGGACAGAGAGGACATCGGACAAAGGTAAAAACCCTAGAAAATTACTGTGCGGGGGTGTTTTTGTAAATCCCAAACTAATCTTGGAAGAAAAATAATCCCACACTCCCCTTGGGTTAAAAATATTAGGGTCAAATGGGATATTGGGCTGCAAACACAACGGGCCGCATTTTTTAATGATTACGAATATACCATAACATTTTATATATCCAAATCTATGATGTGTGGGCCCCTAATACTATTTTAACCCAATCCCGCACCTAATCCCTGCTAATCCTACCAAACAAACACCAGTTGTAACATCACCACTATCAACTAGTCAAGGGATAGGGGTCACCTTATCCTAATCTCTCTCTATCTTTCTCTCACACACATAAGGACATATTATACTTTACATAAGTAACACACTGCATTGTTGGCTCCGCCGACTAGTCGTCAAATCCCATTTGCAACCTAATCTTTTAAGAGCATCTTTAACAACAAATGTTATTTTAGTTATTCAAAACATAATATTTTTTATTTTAGCTATTCACTTTTTCAATATATACTCCAATAATTTTTTTGTATTTTTAACTACTTTCTTTAAATTTTATTTCTCATTTTTTTTTATTATTATTCTTTTCGACAACTAAATTTTGAAACAATCATCCTTCTCAACAATCATTGAGTTTGGGGACTCAATCAATTCATCATCAAGAGACCCATTTTGTAAGAGATTGGCGAAGAATGCATTCAGATGCACTAGTGAACCCCCATTCAACAAGCTCATAACAAGGGCAAGAGAAACAAAGTAAAAAAAAAAGGTGAAGTAATACAATAAAAGAAGAGCGATTTGGGTTGAACTAAAAATGCGTTTTCTATATGTGTGCAAGAGAAGAAGAGTAGCGAGAGGGATCTTGATTTGAGAGCAGTGAGAGTTATATTTCGAACTGTTGGAAGGAGAGGGAGACTAGAGGGAAAGATAATGGCAGGAAAAAGAAATGAAGAGAGGAAAAATAATATAAATTATGTATACAACTTGCTAGAGTGATACTCTATATTTAGAGTATCAGTGTAGCAAAAATCT